TTCGTTTGGACGGTTTCCAAGATACGCGGTATCCGCGAAAGGTTTTCGGGAAGCGTCGCGCCGAGGTTAGCATGATCGCCAACCAGAAAGAAATGACGATCGCGATGAATCCTCTCTCTTTCTTTCTCTCGCTCTCTCGGAGAGGCAATAAGAGGAGAGCAATGAACAGACGAGGTTGGCGCCAGCGCCATGTGGCGGCCGTGCCTTTGCTCTTCGCGGCTTGTTTCTCTCGAGAGGACACAAGAAAAGGAAAGAGAAGAATGGCAGAGAGGAGAAGAGAGAGAAATATATTTATTAATACCGCAGAATTGAATTTCAGAATACGCGTTATTTGACCTTTAATTTTTAGTCGGGGAATTCTGGGAAAGCAATTGACTGAACTCAATTTATATCTTAAGCATCATATAGACGAATGCAATTTTTCTATTTTATTTTATATATATTTTCTATTACAAATCATTTTCGGATTAAAATTGAAGCGTTAGAATAATTAAAGAATTCGAGAAAAAAAAGAGCTGATGAAAGAACTTGGCGTCAAACGCCAGCCGACTTCGATTTAAAGTAAACATGATGCCAGACGCCTCTTAACTGATTCCGATTCACAATAATCTCATTCGGGAGAGAAGGTCGAGACAGAGTGAGACAGAGAAGTTGAATGCGAGAGCGAGATAACGTGAGATGAAAGAATCGCCGGCTGTGGCGCCGACGATCCGCGATCGAGAAATCCGATGCATCTGCAACGCTTAGGTGGCTTCCGAACACGCGGTCGTCTCGTCAGCGACCGTCGGCTCATATGAATTATTGCTTCGGCCGATCGATGATCGTCGAATGAAAACGCGCGATTGATCGTTCGTTTTCACTAACACAGATACCCCGCGTGCACGGGGATTCGCCGAATAATTTACGTAACCGCGGGAAGAATGTCAAAGTTTAAGATCGCGTGTCACTCGCGCAGCTCGCGGAATTTTACGTGTCTCGCGGTCGGGAAATGTGAGAAAGGTCGTGAAATCGCGATCTCCGCTCTAACGTCAGATAAAATTACGCACCATCGTGTTTGCATACGCGTTTGCTACACAAACAAGACGGTTACGTCAGCTGGTTTGATAATTCGTGCGTTGTATATAGTTTCGCGATTCTTGACTCGTGCGCGTCATCTTGCGAAACACTGCATTGCTCGAGCTTTTCCAAAAAAATATGCTGGATATTTACAAGAGAAAAAAAGTACACGCACTCACAAAATAACATTTCGCGAATGCATGTATGAATGAAGCAGGAATCTTCAGGTGTGATAAGTCATACCGATCGCTTCCTGCTTCATTTCTAAAAAATCGTGCATGTGCGATAATAAAATCGTAGGAGTACCGGAAATCGTCTTGATTCCCGAAATGCATCAGATGGTGGAAAGGAGGAGCGTGTGGGGAGACGATTCGCGTAAGTCGCGTGATGACAGGCGTCTTTGCCGGCGATACTAAAATCAGCGAAATTAGTCTCCGCCTTGGAATCCGAGTCGGCTCGGGTCGGCGAGGCGGACGGAAGGAAAGGAGCAGGGACGGCGCGAGTATATTATAATCCTCTCTCGCTCGGATCGGTCCCTGTGTGCGCGCCAGATGGTACCAGCTGGATGACGCATCAAAGCAGAAAACCTCCCGCGTGTCCGAAGCGCGGTTCCGCCCACAGAATCGCGAAGGAAACACGTGCGCTGCGTGTAGTCATCGCCGCCACCGCCGCCGCCGCATCGTCCGTCACGTTGCAGTCTCGTAGTGCAAGAATTCGGTAGGATCTTGTAACGTGCCTACGTTACCGAAGAACGTTATTTATCTATATGTTGCACGTGGACACCGGCGCCGTATTAAATTTCCAGTGCCAAATTCCTCTTGCGATTTACATTAATCATCATTTGATTAATTATATCGGAGAACGAGATACAATTTCTGTGATATTTCTCACATAACAAAGTGGCATAAACCGAAATTTTTATAAGAAGTCTTCGTTACGTTCTTCAGAAGTCTTCACGTTACGTATTTCACATTTTGAAATACTACGCCATCACATACTATATAATAAATATATAATAAATTCTAAAGATAGTAGAGAAATTCTGAATATTCTCAGATTTTTAGATTTGATATAAAAAGAAGTGAAATATTAAATAGTATACTCAGATTTTTAGATTTGATATAAAAAGAAGTGAAATATTAAATAGTATACTCTGATTGATTATTTTTATTATTGTCCATTTATTACCTACGGTATTCAATGAAAGATAGCCGTGACTAATGCGCATTTTTCTTTATTCTGTTTTCAGCTGGTATCATGGCGGGTTCAGAGAGGGACAGCGGCTCTTGCAGCAGCGTTGATGAGGATAGTAGATCTAGCCTGCATTCGCCCACTTCGTCCGAAGACAGTGTCGAGGTGCAAGTGACACCGATTTCGCTGCGAAACAAGCGGAAGCTGGCGGAACCGCGAAAGATCCAGGAGCCGGCGGTTATCGCGACGCCATTGAAAAAGAGACGGTTCGATCCAATTTCCGAGGAGACTACTGTGGATCAAGAGGCGGCCAGATCGTTGAACACGCCGAATCCCTTCCGACCATGGATTCCTACTTCCTGCAAGAATGAATCCAAAACAACCACGACTTCGACGACGACATCGACGATGACAACTTCAAAGACAATTTCTGACACTACAACGACGACAACGATGACAATGTTAACATCAACAACATCCAATGAGAAGAAAGAAGAGGAAAGGAGGAAAGAGCAAGACGAGACGACACAGAGGCTGCACGAATCATTCAGAAGGTTACAACAACCTGTCGGTAGTAATCGACCAGCTGTTTCACCCCGACGAGAACCTCGTCAAAGGTTGCTCGAGTCGGCGACGCCAACAACAGCACCGGCAACGTCCCCATCGAATATCTCCTTACCGCATCCTAGGCTGCAGGACGAGCCACTGTCCTTGGTGGTGAGAAACGAGATGCCCAGAGTGCCGTCACATCCCGCAGTGAGTGGCACCTACGAGAAGACGCCGTCATATATGATGGAACATTTACTGGCGACGTCGTCCGGCCGTAATCATCAAAATCATCAGACTCATCAGAGTCAGCAGCGGAGTCATCACAGTCACCAGTCGGCCTCCGCGACATCGAGACACCACCATCAGGGCGGCCAACAGAGGAATTACAAGAATATGACGAGGGAAAGACGAATAGAGGCGAACGCTCGAGAGAGAACCAGGGTGCACACCATCAGCGCGGCCTTCGACACCTTGAGACGCGCCATACCGGCCTACGCGTATAACCAGAAGCTGTCGAAGCTGTCGGTTCTGAGGATCGCTTGCAGTTATATCATGACGCTCAGCAAAATTCTGGGAAAAGACGATGAGATGGCCACGAGAAGCAACGGGCTTGCAAGCTTGGGCAGCTGCGTGGAATTGGTCTCCAGGACCATTCAGACGGAGGGCAAGCTTAGAAAACGGAAAGACGACTGAACGAATCCTGTTTCCATTTAAGCAACGGAACAAAAAGGGAAATGATGGACAATGAAGTTTGTTACATTCGTATCGGAAATAGCGGAAAATGCTCCGCTCCGCATTGTCAAACGCTTATTCGCCTTCTATTCTCGATGCCATTTAATTTTTGCAGAGGAGGGGAGGACGACCTAGGGTTAAGTAAACCTAAGTAAACCTGATCACCACCGGTTTCTACGCTGTGTGATTGTCTCGATTAATTCGTGGTGTATTGATTAGGAATGCATTAACTAGAATCGTGAGTTACAGGCGCAATAGAAGAAATTTCGAAAGAAGTGAAAGATTTTCGAAAAATAACAATAATTTTAATTAAATGAGCATGAGTCTTATTCGCAGAAAACTTTATAGGATAAGTACTTGTCGTTTTACAAAAATTATATATTACGCTCTTTGGAATAATAGTAAGCTTTAAATTTTAATGGGTATTACCAGCAGAGAATTTCTTGCGGCGCCCACAATAGGGACTTGTCTATCCACGTACCGACAGCAGTTGCACAACCAGACAATAAATCTTTAGAAAGATCCTCATACTTAGGTCACGCTTAATTTACAACAGACACTGCCTGCAATCCTTGCACTGTGTCTCGGAAATTACGATGAAGAGCGATAAACATTTATGTAGAATCTAACAATTCATGATAGAAGCTAGTCTCGAAACCTTAACCCTTTCAAAATGATATCTTGTTCAAATATATCTACTGATGTATCCTGTAAAATACATTGGTATTTTTATCGTGATAAAACATTTTTAAAATGCTTAAGCTCTCTTATAAAGTATAAATAAAAATTAACTTTATGTGAATAAATTTAAATTTAATTAAGTTTGTAACAAATTAAACTTCAATTGAAAAATTAAAATATCTTTAAGTATAATTTAATTTAAAAAAGTTTATAAATAAAATTTTAATAAAATTAAATTTTTTTAAGTGTATTTTTTTCAATTTATTATTATTTTTTTAATTATACTTGTATTATGAAATCATGTTTCCTACATTTTTATAGCAAAAATATAGAATTTTTCAATTTATTAATGTTAGAATTCAGAAACCCATTCAGAAAAAAAATTATTTTTCACTGACTGTGGATCAAGAGATTTTCATCAAACTATAATTATAATTCTTTAAATTTACATTCTCGCAATAAAACCATAGAAAGCATTTACTTTATTATTAATGTATTATTCTAATAAAGTTTTAAATAATCTTTGGGATTATTGCCTTTTGAAAGGGTTAAACGTGTAGCACGCAAACGGGCCTTACCTCGACCGAGCGGATTCGTATATCATGTAAAGCGACGATTTTCAAACTATTAAGATTTTCAATCTATTAAGATGCATACTTATTTCAACGAAAGGACAAAAGAATCGATCGCCTGCAATCTGTTGCTTACGAAACACTAATCTAAAATATGCGCGAAAACGAAAAAGTACGAAATAAAAAGGAAGACAATAATGCTGCTTGTGATGTTCTCTGATAAGATAGTGAACGTTACACATACATTACAAAATTATAAACGGTATCATCTTCCTATAGAAATATATGATAGATAAAAAATATGTAAAAAAATCGTCGCCGTAAACAGGATGGAATTTGCTAGAATTGTCTCATTTTCAGGAAAACTACTACTTTAAAATTTTCAGAATACACTACTAAATCAGAAGTCAAAAAACGGAAATGTAAAGAAAAATGGAAATGTATAATCTCTATTTTGGAAAAAAAAGATTTTAATATTATAATATTGATGGACCTTTAATATTTATATTAATGTTAATGTTAAAATTCATAAATTCACTTCAAAAAGAATATTATAAAGTCAATAGATTTTTAATAGTAATATTAATATTAATGTCAATATTAAAATTTATCTCAAAAAGAGTACGGTATTAAATAATTCTAACTCCACGACGTATAATGAAATGGTAACAAAAGGATCATTGCGCAGTTTGTTTTAAAAAGATTGCGATTGTCGTTATCGCTATCGCAGAAGAGGAAGACGTTACCTGATCTTGAGAGAATTAAAGCTAAAAGAGTGATCAAAGAAGAGTTGACGTATGCTCACACAGTCTTTTCACGCAGTCGACTGCGTCTCGAATTTTGTAAATAGTGAATGTAATGATGTTACGACTAACGATTTATGCTGAAGCGAATGTATAGTAATCGAATATGTTACGCGATGCGAGAAAGGAGCGCATTTGCACGTTTGCCTTATGCGACGATCCGATGCGATATCCGACGTGTACCTTTCTATATTATAAGGCAAAAAAATTTCGAGCAAAGTTCAAATGAAAGTGAAATTCAACAACGAAAATTGTGTCTTTTTATATAATATTTATCCTTCTCTTTTCCATTATTTTCCTATTTATTTCATCACTATTTCTCTCATAATTATAGACGTTATATGAAATTTTTTATATTACCTTTTATTTAGAAATTCTACACTTCAGAAAAAAGACAAGAATATATAGAAGCTATATATTTCGGCAAGTTAACTTTTATCATCTGACCGTTATTGCGTATATTGTTTTTATTATACAGCATTATTGCATTTGTTATTTGTTAGCTTTTTTGGACGACGAAACTTTCAGAAAAGTCGCGATTTTCGTCGTAAAATCTCGAAGCCGACGCAGACGAGAATACGAAAGAAGAAACGAAATGCGCAGATCTATCGCCTTATCGGACGCAATATCGAGAAAAAATGTATGGTGCATTCAAGCTCGGCGGACATTGCTCGATCGAGCGTACGTATGTAACCAGTTACAGCCAGATTTCGCGAGTTTGCCTTAAGCGCCCGAGATGGAATCGCGGCTGGTTATCGCCGTAGCGACGAGGTAAAAGTGGATCTAACAATACGGTTCGTAAAAATCGTATACAACGCATGCACACGTAAACGCGGAATGTATTCAGGTGTAACAACACCGACGCATCGTCGGCGCGAAGGCGTGGGTGTTCCCCAGGCGCGCACATCTGGCCCACAAAAAAGATAACGATATCGGCTAACAATCCAATTGTGTTACCTGCTACTTCACGATACACCGCATACAACGAGCGCGTGTGTTCGTTACATACATACGTGTCCGTCATCGTGAATCCGCGATAGTCCCGCGCCAACTCTATCTGCAGCAATTATAGCATTTTGTAAGTTACGATAAGTTTCTTCGGTTGTCAATCTGAAATGTCTTTTATATTTACTTCTCACAGAAGAGTTCGGATATTGCGGATATTTAATATTTCACAGAAATGCAGATAGATCTTTTAACTCGAGCTGTTAAAGTTACGAAAAAAATTTTACCACTTCGTTGTGCGTTCTTCACGTTTTTTTAATTATAATTCTCCGATTCTATTTAATCATCTTTGTAAATTCACCGTGATCGGGTTATTAGCAACGGATCGGCGCGAGGCGCGTCCAAGCTGTATCCGGTTCGGCAGCTGTTTAGCATAAGGGCAAATTGCTTAAGAAAATAATGAATTCCTCTGCGCCTTGCCGCCTCTCGCTCTCGTCTTTTGCGACTCGCGCCTCCTTCCACCATTATCCCGTGATGCGGCAGGTGGCGATGACGTTTCTCGCGCCCGGCCATTCGGCTACCTGCCTCGAAAACCGCGAGCGCGCGGTTTTACTCGTCGCACGCTAGCAGCATCACATACGCGTGTAACACGCGTGTGCATACCCGCCGCGAGTTGCACATGTAATACGGGCGTTAGGGGAATAACCCCGGGGAGGTTGATGCTGCGGCGGCTGCCGAGGAACGGCAAGGGTGAGAGGGGACAAGCACGTAAGAAAAATACGCGTGCAACGAGACACGCACGCCGAACAAGAAGCAATCGGATATGCAAATATTTCAATGATTATGTTATTTGTGCATGAATTGAAACTCTCAAAAGTATCTGTTGAGCTTCAACATTCCTCGACACTTAGATTATTCAGAATACTCGAATACTCAGGATCTTATTCTGTGATATCTCCTGTTTCTTATTCAAATGTCAACATTAATTAATCCTAATCAGAGCTAATGAATTAAAGATTAAAGATTTCGCAGAAATTGAATTTCGTTTTATCTCGGTCCATCCCAATCTTATCATATGGTTTATATTTAATAAGTTATATTTAATAAGTTCTCTGCTTCAAATTCAGAAGAAGTTCTAACTAATCCGGCCGAACGTAAAAAGCATACCATATCAAATCAGTGATAAATAACGTTTCTTCTGGAAAGGAAAGAGAAAGCGCAAGTGGAGCAAGAAGGAATATTCTTAAAAAACGATATCTCTTATTTGAAAAAGTGACAAATTATAGCGACAATCTCGATTAGTTAATCATAGAGATATGGCCCCATTATAAATGAAAATAAATAACTAAAAGATACACGATACGCGTTCCTTCTAGTAATACTAGATAAGAGCCTTGTCTATATAGCGCAAGTAAGAGAGAGGAAAACCGATTTAAGCGTTAATCGATTTTCACATCGCCGGGGAGCCGCGAGGGATACTATTTATGACTTCCACTTGGTTTCCATTTGCAATTAGAGCATCTCTATGCACGATTCACGGATGGCAGTTTCGTTGCCTGCAGATGAAACGAAAGAATGCCGACCGGGCGAGCAAGCAGGTGCTCGAAACACAACATCGCGATATGGACTCTCTTCTCCTTCAGTCCTCTTCTCTCACGCTACGGAACGTTCCTTACGTTCCTCGTTCCTCTCGCGAACATATCGTTTTCAAGCATATCTGCCTCATGCATCTGAGACATTTTGAGATCGCGGACGACCAATATAAAGTGGAGACATGTTTGAAACAGTTCAAATATCCTATTCGTATGTTGCGCTCTACTTAAAAAAAAAAAAAAGAAAGAAAAAAAAGAAAGAGAAAGTAATATCAAAAATAGCACTTTCGACAAAAAATGCTGATAATCTTGTACATGACATGATCTGGAATGAGCTTTGAAAAGAAGGACTTGTCCGCAGTCTCCGTCTGATGTTTAATATTTTTTTTATCTTTTTATTTTCTCCCTACATCATACCGAATTGTAGAAAAAAAAAAAATGACTTAGTTGTTGAATAAAAATTGAAATAAAAATTTGAAATGGCAATTTGTAATCTAGTCTGCCATCGCTAACGCAAGACACTATTTTACGGAAGCGTAACAATAATGAGAACCGCAAGCTACATGAGCGCACACATCGCGAGGCTGATTATGCGTTTGCGATGCAAGGACACGCGATGCGGCCCTATGCCTCTTATTTTCGTGAGGGCCCGAAAGGCGAGCCAACCAACGTGGGTACGCACCTGCTAAAAGGCAGGCGCAGGTGCATTTATCTACCTTCATAAGCATTACTTAATTTTCGACGGTTACACACATAGCGTGAGTATAGTAATTGGCTCAGTGCGTACCTGACTCCGAAAAAGGAATGAAAGGGCGCTCGTCCTGAACGGTTATGCTCGATTTTATGTCACAGGCATTCCGTCGCTCCCGGTTCTTTTATCGTCCATACATTTTACTCAATTTGACGCGAAATGACTGAAATACTTAATATTGAAGATGATCGCAAAATGATCAAAGAACGTGATAGGCAATAATAATTGTCTTTCAAAAGAAGCAAAGGAAATTCATCCTGGATGATTCTGCTTGTCTTGATATAATATGATAAACGATTCTATTTTCATCCTCCGTTCTTTCTCTCTTTCTCTTTCTCTTATATTTATTAGCTAGTATATTAATTGTAGTATTATAATTTTAATTTATAATCAACTTTTAATTATATCTATATAGCGTTAAATTGTATATGTATACTTTTTGTATCCATGTGTATCGTTTTGTATGATATAATTTTAAATAATTTATTTAATTAAAAAATAAATAGAAAATAATTTTGTTACAAAGGAATTAGAAGTGTTGTTTGGATCCCGGATACGGGTCAACTAAAAGTAGTCTCTATAAGCTTTTTAATCCGTTCGATACGCTCACAGTATATCGGTCAGATCAATTTCAATGAGCGTTTCGTTACAAAGGTTGTCTATTTAATTTCAAAAGATAACGCATCACGGAGTTCGAGTATTGTATATGTATTTATGCGCACAACGAATCTTGCAATGACATATTTTGATCATTTTATTTTTCTGCAAACAGTGTCATTATTATTTAAATAAACGATTTTTAATTATATAAAATTATCTTGAACAATGTAAACGAAAATGAAGATGATAACAATTGACCGTGCGAGTCACATATTTTAAAAATAAAATCGCACTAACATTACAAAAATTTTCATGTCTTTAAGTTATGCAAAATTAATTTGCAAATTGTAAATTCAATTAATATAATTTGAAAGACTTTCTATCATTACTCTCCGTTAAACTTTTCTGTCGTATATATTATATTCATATGACATATGTATTCTCCGAGTGTTCTTTGTATATCTTCAGGGTATATTTTTTGTACAAAATCTACACACTGAACATTTTCTTCTGTGTTTCACCGTACAGCGTTTTTAAATTTTTTCTTAAGAATTTGTAACATAATGCGCATTATTCTTATAGAAGAGAACCTTTTCCGTAATTCTTCTTAGGAATTCGATTTTAGCGTTGGTATTTTAGACTGCAGATTGACCAGTGCAAAGCATTCATCGCGTAGAGAGAAATCGCGAATAGGAGCGCCGAGGAGTAACCGAGAGAGCGAGGGACTTAGGTGCAACAGCGGCTATAAAGCAAGATTAATGAGGCGAAGTGCGCTCTGGTAGGAAGCTGTCAGGGTCCTGGCGCCAGCTGACCAGACGACTCGCACAACCAGCCGTGGTATCGACCACACGCACACCCATTACACCCACATACGCATACACATATACATACATACACAATATGTCCACAAACTATGATCCAAATCCTCCTCTCTCTTTCTCTCCGTCATGACAAACTCGTTCGTTTTGCTCGTCCTCCAGAAAATAGATGTCGTCAACGTAATCTAACAACAATTAATGATCCAATGTAACCATAAAGATATCGGGAAAAAGATACGGTGAAAGAGTGAGGGTGAGAGAGCGGGGAAAAAGTGTAATGATGACGTAAATGATTAATGTAAAATTTCTGATGCGTATTTAAGTAAAAATAAAAGATTTGAAATATAGCTACCTTATGACGTACTAAATTTTATACTATTTTTCTTAAAATTGAAGAATGTTAACAGCATTTGAAGTTCTAACAAGTTTATGTATTAAAATATCATATCACTCGTTTTCATAATAAGAAAATTATTACTTATAATTACTATAGATGCTCTCGACTGGTGATAATAATAACGATCATTATCATCTGTCATTATCACTCATTAAAACGGTAAAATGGTAATTACAATTAACTTCCTATTTAAATGAGAAGACTCATATCGAAGAAACCTGCTATCGATAATTTATGCCTCGACTCCTTCCCACTCTCTCGATTCGATAATTTTCTCAAAGGCAAGGAACTGATTGATCTCTTTATCGGCGACGATCGTGACATTCAAGAACGCGGGCTATCCCCCAGCTTGTGGAAAGAGAACCCGACGGTCTGCGGTCTGTATGCGTGTATGCGCGCGCGCGCGCGCGCATGTGTGTGTGTGTGTGTGTGTGTGTGTGTGTGTGTGTT